ATAACCGACGTCGAAAGCCTACTTTTCCACGTCGTGCATGCTAAAACGATGTAGAATGTGTAAAAATTCGACTTTCGACGTCGGTTGTTGACCAACCGACGTTGAAAGCTTGTTCAACGTCGGCTAAAATGTAACCGACGTTAAACAGCGACGTTGAAAGTATATTTTCTAGTAGTGATTTTACTATTTAGTGTTTAGTTTCATTTAAAGTTTTTACTAATTTCCATACAAAGTAATTTGACATATTTTAGTTTACTAGTTTAAAATTCCTTTAAGTTGTTTACTTTTAATTTTTTTAACTTTTGTAACTCAAAATCCCCACAAATTTACTTAGTTTTGTTTTCCATTCAAATTACAGACCATAATAAGAATAATTTGTAATTTAACTCCTTGGATTGATACTTGGTTTACCTCTTACTACATTTTTGGGAAACTAAATTTTGAAAACCTATGCAACTAAAGGTTTATCATGCCTCAGCCTTGACCATTGTCAAAATGATGAATATACATCTAATGGAGTTGGAGATTAGACTTGTGAATAAAATCATTCACACGAGCTAACACAAGGATATTTGGAGTAGTACCTGTACCATTTGGTAGACAAAGAGGATAAGGACACTTTCATAGATTTCCTGGCTCTCACTATTTATTGTATTGTATTGTTTCAAAGTGTTGAGAACTTTGTAGACACTGCTGCAACAGGCGTGTTCGTGGCTAACAAAAACGGGGCAGAAAACTCAACTATAGCCATATTAGCTAAAGTTTATAGAACCATGCATTTTTGTCATGAGAGGAATGGAAAGAAAATTAGCTGTTGTTTGTCAGTGCTATTTCTTTGGCTTATCACCCGTATCTTCAAAAGATCCACAGACATTGAAATCCCTTTGAAAGAAGTATTACAGTGGAAACTTGATGTGAAAGGGGGAAGTGAGTGGGCCCAGTGTCTTACTAACTTAAACGAAGAAAAAAATCAGATGACACCTATCATGGCAACAAAAGATAAGCTTTGTGTATTGTTGTGGGGAATTTCCCAAAGTACCCCTCATAGGTACATAATGTTGTATAAACTATAATCCCTTTCAATCCCAGAGACAATTTGGTTATCCCATAAAAGGATCGCCTACACCAGGGTCATTTACCCCTATGAAGATGGTCATGTTACTGGGATAATTCAACGAATTCGAGGTGCTTGGATGTAGACCCCAAATCTTGTCCGGCCTCAAAATAAAGAGCAGAAGACCTCCAATTCAAAGATGAGAAAGTCCTAAAAGGTCCATAGGATAGACTAATAGGCCCCATATTAGAGTAGGAAGGTTTTTTGTACAGAAAAAAAATAAGGAATTCCACCTGAAAGGTCGAGACCGTCGTCTCGCCACTTGCCATGGCGAGACAGCCTTTCCGCTTGGCGAAACAACCTTCTTGTCATTTGTCAAATCGATACCGCCTTCTCAATTGACGAGATGACCGTCTCGCCATTTGTTAAAGGCGAGACCACCGTCCCATTTGGCGAGACGAGAAAGCTTGCTTCGGAGGTTTCTTCACTTTCTCCCTCTCTTTTACCGCTTTTTTATTTACATTTATCTGTGCATTAGTTGCTAGGGTCATGTAGTCATTACTTTTTAATTCCGCAAATAAAAGGGTAAAAGCGTCATTTTAAAGTTTATTTATAAAATAAATGGCCTATCATAGGGAACTTGAAAGGGGCATCGCAGGGAAGCTAATACCTTCCCTACACGTAACTAACTCCCTTACCCGACTCTGGTTATAATGGCCAAAGTTAGTTCTTTAAACCAATGCCTTCTTTTTCCCTTTCCCGATGTTTTCGGTAAAAACATCGGTGGCGACTCCATAAGAACCCTTTTCAAAAACCTCACCCTTAGGTCCAGCCCGGTTATCGGACAACCTAAAGGTGTTGTAACGTCACATTTTAAAACGCGAAGTGAAAGTCGAAAACCATCGCGTCGCTCCGACCGCCTCTTTTGACAGCGGCGACAGATGGCGACTCCACTAGGGAAGCCTAGAGAGTTGATCCCATTTAGTGACGGGTCAGTTTAATAAATAAACATAAAAATTTCGCTTTTACCCTACCTTGTTTTATAACATGTTTATTTGTTTGGCTTTAATAACTGTTGTTTGTTTATTTTGTGCAATTATTTGAAATACAAACTGTACACAAACCCTTGCACACAACATTTCCCTCTATACCCGGGGGCAAGTGAGAAATCCATAGGGAGTGGGTGACAGGTACGATTTGCCGCAGTGAGGGCCATGAGCCCATCGGTATGATCTGAAACCACCACGCAAGGTGATAACCTTCCTCTTTTGGCACAAAGATTGACTACGGCCTTAGTGCCAAGCATGGTCGGAAGGCTGGAGAGTGGGGACCCTATAATGGGGGCACCTTGGGGGCCTGACCTTGGTGAGAACAGTTAGAACCTACTTTTGCCAATGCACTTTTCTGCAGGAAAATCCTACCTCGTAATCCAAACACCATCCTACTTGTTCGTGGATGAGTAAATTGTGTGTGCATTTGTTTGTTGCATTTGATTGCATAGCATAACCAAACAACAAATAAATACAGAAAAATCACAAAAATATTTTCGCAATAAACACCCTTATCTCAGACAGTCTGCCTTTTAGCTAGCCTGGTTTCAGGTTCTTTGTAAGCTAAGTAGTCACGTAGTCCGACAAAAGAGATAAAGGACGTTAAAATTATTCTTTCGTAATAAACCATTTTATCTCGGACAGCCTGGTTTCAGGTTCTTTATAAGCTAAGTAGCCACGCAGTCCGACAGAAGAGATAAAAGGCTATAAAAACAAAAACCCAATCAAATAAAAATGGAATCTTGTTCAAAAACTGTTTATGACAAAGTCAAATCATTCATGTCGCATCATGTCACAAGCAAAAAAAACCAAGAGAGAAAATAAAAGGAAAGTACACATCAACATCATTCTAAAAATCTCTCATGCATAAAAGACGTCCATGCTAGGGGGCATTAGATATCTCTAAGACAAAGATGAAAGAGGCCCCAAGCACATTTGTAACCATCCACATGGAAGGAAAAAATGTACTAAGGTATATGGTGATCTTCGTTATACTTGTCAAAAACCATGACAGGGAAGGAACCATTACACCAAAGTGGGTAGGGTACCCTGTAGAGCGTAAGCTTAAAGGATGATACCTAAGTCATTGTCTTAAAAGGTATTAGTCCCACACTTATCATTCATTTTATTAATAAAATTTTTTGGGCATCCTAGAAAGTGGTTGGTCCTCTTCCTATCCGAACCTGTGCACAGAAAGCAAAGGCCATGGAGCAGTTGGAAGAACAAAACCGCAAACTCACCGCCGAAGTCAGCACCCTCTGGGAACAAATGGCGCAATTAATGGAAGTCATGCGCCAACAGGGTCAAAACAAAGGGGAGACTCAAGGCGATCGCGCCTCTTGCCACGAGGAAGAAGAAGAAGAGGAGTTCCTCTTCGAGCAAAAGGCCCCTATCCAATCTGACGCTAGGACGATGCACATCCACACCCCGGAGGTGTCCAAACAACGAATCTCTGCCTTGGAGGAGAGGCTGAAGGCAGTAGAGGGACACAACTTTGATGTCAAAGAGATGGCAGACATGTGTCTGGTCAAGAACATCCATTTCCCGCCGAAATTTAAGGTCCCAGATTTCCCCAAGTATGCTGGACTGACCTACCCCAAGAACCATCTTACGATGTACTGTCATAAGATGGCTGCACATGCCGAGAATGAAAAACTCCTGATCCGTTGCTTCCAGGAGAGCTTGGCTGACTCATCCCTCAACTGGTACATGCAGCTGGAAAAGGGGCAGGTCCAAAACTGGAAGCAGCTGGCTGATGCTTTCCTTCGTCGTTACCGATACAACATCGATCTGACCCCTGATAAGTCAGATCTCAGGACTTTAAGTAAAAGGAACGACGAGTCCTTCAAAACATACGCACAGAGGTGGAGGGAAATGGCTTCCCAGATAGAACCCCCGCTAACAGATAAGGAGACGGTAGCTATGTTGATAGATTCACTAACAGGAGCTTACTACACACAAGGTGATTGCCAGTACATCTAACCTTTTCTCGGACATAGTCACCGTAGGGGAGAGAGTAGAGCAAGGGTTGAGAAGTGGGAAGATAGCGCAATCTTCCCGTGTTGGCATCTCATTCAGAAATCCCTCCGGCAAGAAGAAGGAGGAAGTTGTACACGCGATTAACCTCGCTACTCCTTCTTCCGCTCCACAGACGGTTCGGCAGTCGCGCAAGAAAGAGAGGAAGTTCACTCCTATCTCAACTTCCTATGGAAAGTTCACTACAAGAAAATTACCAATTACCTGCTGATATTTACTTACGGATCCATATTCGTAGATAAATTATAAATTACCTACGGATTTTATCTACGGATTTTTATCCGTATATAAAATTGTATATTACAGTAGTCTATAGGTATTATCCTATGTAATGTTGGCGCGTTTAGGCGGGAACGTTCGAAGGATGAAATCCGTAGGTAATGACAATAAAATCCGTATGTAATGAAGTCATACTTTACATACGGATTTTACATACGGATTTTATTAGAAAATATTAAAAAATAAAATTAGTAAGTAATTAGTAGTAAAAACATAAGGAAAAAAAATTTCAGCCAGACCTCCACTTTCCAGCCCTAGCTCCCTCTGCATTGCTCTTCTTCCTTGTAGCTTCTTCCCTGCGGAGCAGCCCCACTCTCCCTGCACCTTCACTTTCCCTTTTCCCTCATTCCCTCTTCCCTCTGCCTCACTCTTTTCTCGGCTCCTCTCAACAACTCAGCCACCCGCACCCCTCTTTCCCGAGCACCCCTGACTGAGCTCCATTTTCAATATTCCTCAACCCTTCACTTGAACTCCACAGCCCTAGCTCGCGCTAACACCTTTTCCCTCACCTCCTCTGCGGCCTCTGCATCCCAGCGAAGCCCTAGACTTTATCACCCCAACCCAACCGCGGAGCCCTAACTATGACTCGCGCCCCCCTAGCCATTGCAGGTCAACTTGGAGATTGGTGGTTAGAAGCAAGGGTCGCAGGCTTAAGTTTTCCTTTCTCTTTTTGATTTTTTGTTTATTGTTCTTGATTTGAGTTGTCTGAAATGTTTCATTTGGTTTGCTTGATTTATGATCGGTTCTTGGATTTAAATTGAGTTTTTACGGGATCTGTGGATTATCGGGTTTGGGGCTGACACTGTCATGCATTATTGCTTGTGCGGTTGGATGCTTTCTGACATTGGATCAATGACAATTTTAAATGTTGTTTTTCATGTGTTGTTGTAGTTGATTATGGCTCAGCTGGTTGGGATATTCAATTTTATTTCTTAAATGTGATTATTTGGATGTTACAGGCAAATAAAACTTTGATTCATCCCTGCTTTTACCTTCTCTGCAATATACTTTGATTCTTATTAAAGTTATTTGACTTATATATCTTTATATTGTAACTCTGTATGGTATGATGTTTAATGTGTAATTATTTCAATGGAGTAGAAGACTTTTCTCAATTCCTTTCAAGGTTACTCTGCCATGAGGAGCAAGGCAATGCGTTTTTTGCTTTAAAGTTGTTGTTAAGTTGAATTCTAAATTTATTTGGTAGTATTATGGGTTTTGCCAAAATGTATCAGTTTCTTGATTCCCTATGTAAACCTTGTTATATTTCTCAGATCTAGCGACCTAGGTATCACTCGTAGTCACCTCTCAAGACCATGGCTTTGAAAATATACTTTTTATCTTAATACTCCTTAAGATTTTACCATCAATCTACTAGATCATAGGAAAAATGTTTCTGTCATGTTCAGAATAAATGTTGATAGTTTTTATGGTATGGGATGTGATGTGATATGAACACTAAGGAGGTATGTTTCCTTCATTTTACTTTTTCCTGTTTGTTTCTTTTCTTTCTTCACCAAATAACTTAGGATGCCATCAATTTCATGAGTATGGAAACCTATAAAATCTTTTATTAAATCAATGAATAGGTTTAAATACATTTTTCATCCCAATAGTTGCTTCAGTCAAGGAGCAAGGCAATGCGTTTTTGCTTTAAAGTTGTTGTTAAGTTGAATTCTAAATTTATTTGGTCGTATTCTAGGTTCTGCCAAAATGTATCAGCTTCTTGATTCCCTATGTGAACCTTGTTATATTTCTCAGACCTAGCGACATAGGTATCACTCGTAGTCACCTCTCAAGACCATGGCTTTGAAAATATCCTTTTTATCTTAATACTCCTTAAGATTTTACCATAAATCGACTAGATCATAGGAAAACTGTTTCTGTCATGTTCAGAAGAAATGCTGATAATTTTTATGGTATGGGATCTGATGTGAGATGAACACTAAGGAGGTATGTTTCCTTCATTTTCCTTTTTCCGTTTTCTTTTCTTTCTTCACCAAATAAGTTAGGATGCCATCAATTTCATGAGTATGGCAATCTATAAAATCTCTTAAATCAATGAATAGGTTTAAATACATTTTTCATCCCAATAGTTGTTTCAGTCAAGGAGCAAGGCAATGCGTTTTTGCTTTAAAGTTGCTATTAAGTTGAATTCTAAATTTATTTGGTCGTATTCTAGGTTTTGCCAAAATGTATCAGCTTCTTGATTCCCTATGTGAACCTTGTTATATTTCTCAGACCTAGCGACATAGGTATCACTCGTAGTCACCTCTCAAGACCATGACTTTGAAAATATCCTTTTTATCTTAATACTCCTTAATATTTTACCATAAATCTACTAGATCATAGGAAAACTGTTTCTGTCATGTTCAGAAGAAATGTTGATAATATTTATGGTATGGGATCTGATGTGAGATGAACACTAAGGAGGTATGTTTCCTTCATTTTCCTTTTTTCTTTTTCTTTTCTTTCTTCACCAAATAAGTTAGGATGCCATCAATTTCATGAGTATGACAATCTATAAAATCTCTTAAATCAATGAATAGGTTTAAATACATTTTTCATCCCAATAGTTGCTTCAGTCAAGGAGCAAGGCAATGCGTTTTTGCTTTAAAGTTGCTGTTAAGTTGAATTCTAAATTTATTTGGTTTTATTCTAGGTTCTGCCAAAATGTATCAGCTTCTTGATTCCCTATGTGAACCTTGTTATATTTCTCAGACCTAGCGACATAGGTATCACTCGTAGTCACCTCTCAAGACCATGGCTTTGAAAATATCCTTTTTATCTTAATACTCCTTAAGATTTTACCATAAATCTACTAGATCATAGGAAAACTGTTTCTGTCATGTTCAGAAGAAATGTTGATAATTTTTATGGTATGGGATCTGATGTGAGATGAACACTAAGGAGGTATGTTTCCTTCATTTTCCTTTTTCCTTTTTCTTTTCTTTCTTCACCAAATAGGTTAGGATGCCATCAATTTCATGAGTATGGCAATCTATAAAATCTCTTAAATCAATGAATAGGTTTAAATACATTTTTCATCCCAATAGTTGCTTCAGTCAAGGAGCAAGGCAATGCGTTTTTGCTTTAAAGTTGCTATTAAGTTGAATTCTAAATTTATTTTGTAGTATTCTAGGTTTTGCCAAAATGTATCAGATTCTTGATTCCCTATGTGAACCTTGTTATATTTCTCAGACCTAGCGACCTAGGTATCATTCGTAGTCACCTCTCAAGACCATGGCTTTGAAAATATACTTTTTATCTTAATACTCCTTAAGATTTTACCATCAATATACTAGATCATAAGAAAACTGTTTCTGTCATGTTCAAAAGAAATGTTGATAATTTTTATGGTTTGGTATGTAATGTGATGTGATATGAACACTAAGGAGGTATGTTTCCTTCATTTTACTTTTTCCTGTTTGTTTCTTTTCTTTCTTGACCAAATAAGTTAGGATGCCATCAATTTCATGAGTATGACAACCTATAAAATCTCTTAAATCAATGAATAGGTTTAAATACATTTTTCATTCCAATAATTACTTCAATCAAGGACTAAAAACTAAACTTTTAGACCATGGGGATCTAAATTTAAAGGTGCTAAAAATGTATTTATATCAATTGTGTTGGTTATAGCAAGGTGTTTATAATTCTCCTTTTGTCTCTATTTCTTGTGGCCTCCTTATGCATTCAGTTTTCTTCTAGCAACTAGTTTAGGGAATTTCTTTAGTATCCTATTTGTGTTACAATGCAAAAAAAAAAAATAATAATAATAATTGGAGTAGGAGGTAAAGTGTGTAATAAACACTCTTTAGATCTAAAGTATATATTTTTTATTACTAATTCTATTAATATATGCAATTGTAATCTTATATTATCAGAATTCTATATGTAATAATAGATTTTTAACCTAATATAACTATGTCAGAAAGAATTAGAATTAAACTGTGACCCGCTTTATCACTAGTGGGTCCCCAATATAAGAATTTCAATCACAACTGCTTTTCTATCTTTTATGTCTTTTCTTTTGAACTTGTCTACTTTGTTGAAAATTTAGTTCTAAGATTCCATGGTTCTTTGACCAGTTATATATTGATTTGAATATTGGCCTTTTGGGTTCCTTTCTATCTCTTTTTTCTTTTCTTATTTCCTCTTTTTTTTTCTGCAGATTTTATGAGTTTTTCCTTAAACGTGAAAAGTTGAGAGAGTTCTGAATTGGAGACCAATAAATTGGTGCCACCTTCATCTTGTGCTGGTATTATTTAACATTCAACATATTTAACATTCTCAAACTTTTATTTTTTTTGACTATTGACCTTGGTCAAATGGAAATGTTATAGGACCACTGTCATTTCTATCTAGTGTTATTTGTGGTATTTTATACTATGATTTAATGTTTTGCAAACAAACTTTGTCCTAATAATAATAATCTTGTTGGTTTTATTTGTTCGGAACTTTTAATGTTTCATATAGGGGATTGTGCACAAATGTTTTGTTAGAAAAGTAGGCTTAGATCAAGAGGGGGGGTGAATTGATCTTTGAAAGATTTTCGCAATTAACAGATTATCTATTTGTAAAAATAAGATTTCAGATCTGTTCTTGAATCACAAAGCAATCAATCAACAATAAACGCAACAACAGAATTAAAAGAGGAGAAAGGTTTAGAAAGATATCACCGGTGTTTATACTGGTTCACCCAATACCAGGGCTACGTCCAGTCTCCAGCCAAATTCCAGCTGGGTTCCACTAGATCAAATGTTTTACAGATTACAATCTTACACTTAATCTACCACAAGAACCACAATTCCAGTTCCTGCACCTAACCTTTCACCAAGAACCAAATTCCAGTTCTTGACAACCTCTACAACCAAATTCCAGCTGCAGAGAAACCAATGCCCACAATTCCAGGCACCAAACAATACAAAAAGAATGTAAGGAAATGAAAAGAAGAAACTAGAATGCTCAAACCAGTTTTATGCAATTCTGCAGTGTGTTTCTTCTCCAAAAGAAAGAAATTTGCCTCAAGAAAGAATTTCAAAGAACTTCACAAAAACTGGCGCGAATCTTTCTTGAAAGAGTGCTAAAGTTTGCTTGCTTGATTGCTAAAGATTGATGTTCAAATGTGTTGTTTTAAAATGTTCAAGCCAAACTGTTTTTATAGAAGATTTTCAAAATTGCTGGTTTAATCAATCTGTTAAAATAATCTTATAATCTATTAAAAGTCTAGTTTTCATCTGTTAAAACTTCTTTTAATCCATTAAAGCGTTCTTGATTATTTAACAGATTTGTTTTAATTGATACGACAACGTTTGTATCAATTAAAACTCTTTACAAAAAAATATTCTAATTTGATTTAATCGATTTTTTCGTGTTTCAATCGATTAATATACTGCAAAACTTTATTGTGAGTTTTTCCAAGTGATTTTAATTGATAAAAATAAGTTTTAATCGATTAATACGCTGTGTAGAAATTTTCTAAGTTGTTTTAATCGATTGAAACGTGTTTTAATCGATTGAAAAAGCTCTGATCGGTCATAACTCAATTCTGATCGATCATATCTGATTCTGATCGGTCATAACTCAATTCTGATCAATCATATCTGATTCTGATTGGTCATAATTGCATTCTGATCGATCATCCTGAATGTTAAGTGGATTTAATCGATTAAAACTAGGTTGTATCGATTAAAATACTGCAAAAACACTTCTCTTAACATTTTAAGTGATTTTAATCGGTTATTTCGAAGCTTTATCAGTTAAAACACTGCAGAAGGTTTTCAAAACTTTCTTTAATGAAAACAACCGGTTATTTCGAAATTATATCAGTTAAAAACTTGTTTAAGAAAACTTTTGTTAAAATACTTTGTTTTTAACTGCTTAAACGTTTTTAGAGGCATTTTGCAAAATCTTTTAAGTGAAGAAACCTCATGCAGCAGAAAAGATAAAAATGATTATACCTAAGCATAGCTGCGGACACACTAATCCCTTTATTCTTTTATCTAAGTGACTGTTGACCGCTACAAAGTTGACTTTGACTTTATCTTTGACTTCATCAAATCAACAGGATCTTTGTCAGAGTATTTCAATAAGATCTTCATCACTTTCAGTCTCCCCCTATTTGATGAAGACAAACACCACTTTGAATAATAACTCTGCAAGAGAAGTCACTTGATAATACAGATTAGTGAGTAATAAAGAAATGAATTATTTTCCTATTTCTCCCCCTAAATTGTTGCTTCCTAAATAAAGATTTATTTCTAATCAAAAGTAAAGCAACTAAAGCAACTATTCTCCCCCTTTTGACTTCATAAAAAAAAATAGGGAACAAAAGAGAAATAATGCAAATGTATGTAATAAGTTTGAGATTTTGAAAATTGTGAAAAAAATGAATACGATATCTTACTCATGTAAAGATCAATCAAAGTTGATTCAAACTTATCTTCATTAACACGTTTGTAATGAATACAATTAACACGTGTAAAGATAAGGGAATCACGCTTTAGTAGCATGTTACAAGAACAACCATTAACTAAAGCCTTTAATTTTTCTTTCCAGAATAAAAATCGATTAAAAACAGGACAAAATCGATTAAAAAATTCTTGTTTAATGATTTTAATCGATTGAAATAAAGGTTTAATCGATTAAAATAGTGAAGGACTTCGAAAGTATGAAACATAAGTGCATTTAATCTATTAATTTGATATTTAATCGATTAAAGCAGTAAAGAAAAATGTTGTATAAATTCTTTTAATCGATTTAAAAGATTTTTTATTGATTAAAACAACCAGTTTTGCAAACTAAGTAATGTTTTATGTGAATTTATCATGCCTAATCCAGTGTAAGTTTTGAAAACCGATCATTTAGAAAGATGCTTTACAATAATATCAACTACATCGATTAAATTTTAACCAATAGATCCATCAAAATTAGAATAAATCTTATTTAGCTAATTTAACTGATGTAAACTGGTTTATATAGATTTTAATCGATTGATACACAGTTTAATCGATTATTTTGTTGTGAAAGTGTTTCCTTTAATCGATTTAATCGATTAAGTCCATTCTGTATCAGCTAAAAATATCCGGGATCTATGTTGAATTCTATCTAGACTAGTTTCATTCGATTTAAAACCTACATTATATAGATCAAAGCTAAAGAGATTGTACCTGGTATACAACCAGTAAATATTACAGACCAGAAATTGAAATTAGCATCAAAAGAAATAAGAAATAAAAGATAAGATAAGAAGGGACCCTTTTAATCCATAAAATCAATCATCCCAGTTTCCTTGGTTCAGCTACATATCTTCCAGCTTGGTGTAGATATTAGCAATTTGGTTTTCAAGGGATGTGAATTGATTGTTTGTTTGCTGGAAGTGTTGGAATGTCATCTGCATATGCTTTCTCTGATTTTTCTGCATTGTAGCCATTTGAGAAAGCATTGTTCTTTCAAACTGAGATAAAGGAGTCCCACAGTCAGGCTGCTCCATGTAAGGAATAATTTCCATATTTTCATATGAGGCTTGACCACTGGTTGACTCAGGAACCTCTGCAGCAGCTGGAGAGGGAGGAATTTGGCCTTGTTCATTTTCATCTTCATCCTCTTCCTCATCCTCAGACATCCTAACATCAATTTTGGAGATCCATTCATCATCAACTTTTATATATCCCATTTTTCTCAGGGTGGAGTCGTCAATTTCATTTGATGCTTTGGGGGTTTCTATGCTCTCCCCAGAAAGATCAAATTCAAAATATCTAAAGAAATTATTGATTAACATAGCATATGGCAATTTGAAATCTGCCAGCCTTTTAGCTTTCAACATGTGATCTTTGATCACATACACCCAGTTTACCCAAACATTGTTAAAAATGCAATACATGAGGGCAAGATCTCCCTCATTAAGAATAGCATGATTACTCCCCCTTGGAGTAAGCATCCATGCCACAATAAAAGCAAGTAATCTATGTTCAAGTGCAAGTTTTCCAGCATTCAGAATTCTTACCGAGTCATTTGGATCCTTAAGGCAAGACCGGAAAAATTGAATCTTGTTGAACTCAGGAATCTCAGAAATATTCCCCCTGAGACTTTGACACCTCTATCCTTAAGGCCAGCAACTTGCTCCCAAAGAACAGGAGTAATTTCCATATTCACTCCCTTCACTTGAGATCCGATTGTAGAACCATTCATTGTTAAATTTGAGTAGAAGACCCGAACCGGATCAGGTTGAATATTCCTTGTGAACTCCAT